CTGGGCTATTTTCACTCTCTTCAATGTAAACATAGTTATTAAGGGGAGCTCAATGAGGGCTATTGCGTCGATGATGTATTAAGACAAACGCGAGTGACTGTCCTTGTTTTAAGATTCCCCACAGCAGGTATTGTAACATCAGCAGGAGATTCTTCAACCTATGTGTTCTCTAAACCAGAATTAGTTCTTGAGAACTATTCTTGCACTGCATCGATTCTGGAATAACCAGACCGTTTAGAAATCAAAACTGTCCATTCTCGGAATCAAATTCATAAATTAAAAAAAAAAAAAACTTGCAATTCTGTTGAATTCGTTTTACGTGCAAAAAAAAAAAAATTAACAAAAAAAAATTTAACAAAACAAAAATTAATTTCTATTAGTTCCGTTTCTTTTTGTGAATGATTTTGTTTAGAAATAAGGGGTTAACCGGTCCATTCATCAATGTTTTCGTTCCACGGCGCAGCCCTCTGTCAGGATATTTTCTTGACGTCATAATCACGTGACAAATTGAAGAACGGATATTTATGACGTCATGAGCACGCGAGAATCTAATTTAGAACGACTTCGGATATTGGGCGGATGATGAGGAGTGGGGGGGGGGGGGAGTTAAAATACGTTTAGACATTAAAAGCAAAATGGCTGAAAAAGAGTTTTTTGTGTGTTTCAAACGAATGTCGAGTTTATCATTGTTTTAGGCATATCTACCTGAAAAATAAACATAAACTAATAACAAAGTTTAAAGAAGTCTGTTGAAACTTTTAAAAAATCGTTAGAAAGTAATCATAGACCCGTTTATAATCATATGCAAGAATATAATCATAGGCCTGAACATATAATCAAATTTAAGAATATATTAATAGGCATGAACATATTCATACTATGCAAGAGTATAATGATAGGCCTGAACATATAATCAAAAACGATAATATAGTCATAAACATAATCACGATTATAGTAATTATGAGAGGACAGTACACAACTTAAATATACACGTAAACACAAACAAACAAATAAACCTATATAAATACCTAAACATAATTATAAACATAACCGCGAGTATAGTAATTACTAGAGGACAGTACAAAACATATATATAAACCTAAACACAAAGAAACAAATAAACATTTGCCTAAACATAATCACAAACATGTGCTAGAACATAATCATAAGCCTGAAAAAAAAGATAGGCCTAAACATATTCATAATCATCCGCTAGAACTTAACCATACAACTGAACATAATCATATGACTAATCATATACATGCAATCAAACATAAACAAGCCTTAAGAAACAGCTACTTCCTCCCAATAAAAATGCCAGACATTGATTGGAAGACTTATTGTTGAGTGTAGAGAAGGCAGAAGCCAAGTTGTGTGTTAGTTATTTGTGTGAAACACAGTCGCTTATTGATTGCTTGTCTTGTGTTGTTCAGTGGCTGTCAGATTACTGCTCACCCCTCCCCCACCCTCCCCTGGTAATCCCTTATCAGCTTTTCAACCATCAACCCACCCCCTCCCTATTCATCCTCTACCCCCATCCCCCTTTTTCACCCTCTAACCATCTCTTCCCTGTTCACCTTCCACCCACCCCTTCACTATTCACCATCTACTCCCCCTCCCGATTCACCCCTATCAACCCCCTCCCTATTCAACCTGTACCCATTCCCTCTATATTCACCCTTCTATCCACCTCTAAATTTGCACCTTCTTCCACACCCCTGCTCATCCTCTACCCACCCCACACTATTCATCCTCTACCCACCCCACACTATTCATCCTCTACCCACCCCACACTATTCATCCTCTACCCACCCCACACTATTCATCCTCTACCCACCCCACACTATTCATGCTCTACCCACCCCACACTATTCATCCTCTACCCACCCCACACTATTCATCCTCTACCCACCCCACACTATTCATCCTCTACCCACCCCACACTATTCATCCTCTACCCACCCCACACTATTCATCCTCTACCCACCCCACACTATTCATCCTCTACCCACCCCACACTATTCATCCTCTACCCACCCCACACTATTCATCCTCTACCCACCCCACACTATTCATCCTCTACCCACCCCACACTATTCATCCTCTACCCACCCCACACTATTCATCCTCTACCCACCCCACACTATTCATCCTCTACCCACCCCACACTATTCATCCTCTACCCACCCCACACTATTCATCCTCTACCCACCCCACACTATTCATCCTCTACCCACCCCACACTATTCATCCTCTACCCACCCCACACTATTCATCCTCTACCCACCCCACACTATTCATCCTCTACCCACCCCACACTATTCATCCTCTACCCACCCCACACTATTCACCCTCTACCCACCCCACACTATTCATCCTCTACCCACCCCACACTATTCATCCTCTACCCACCCCACACTATTCATCCTCTACCCACCCCACACTATTCATCCTCTACCCACCCCACACTATTCATCCTCTACCCACCCCACACTATTCATCCTCTACCCACCCCACACTATTCATCCTCTACCCACCCCACACTATTCATCCTCTACCCACCCCTCCTCTCGTCCTCTACCTACTCCCACGATTTTCCACCTTCCTCCAGCCCACCCCCTCCCTGTTTAATATCCCCTCCCTATTCACCCTCTTCCCTCCCTCCCCATTCACTCTCTACCCACCCTTCCCTCCCTCCCCTCTCAGAGATTTCTGAGGCTAGGAATTTCAGGCCATTAGTTTTAATAGTGCTTAGTTCACTTGAAAGAGTTCTGTGTTTTAAGTCTTCCGAGCCTCGACTATCAAATTATTTCACCATCCCACCATAAGGGAAAATCAGCTCATCAGCGTGTATGGAACGTCTGTACAACAGTATAAAGAACACATAACATGTATGTAAACAATGCAGTAGTCGGATATGATGATAAAGTCAAGTAAGGCTAATTGCAAGTGGTAATAATCGAATGCACTTTAATTTTGCAAAACATTTTGTATCGTGCTAAATAGGTAAACTAATCATAAGGTATAGAGTTAATTGGGTAAACTACACATTTGATATGCTACACACTTGATAAACTTCACACTGGGTATGCTACACACTGGATATCATACAGGTTGGGTAAATTACACAGTGGACATGCTACACACTGGATATTTTATACACGAGGTATGCCATACACTAGGTATGTTATAAACTAGGTATGCTATACACTAGGTATGCTATAAACTAGGTATGCTATACACTAGGTATGCTATACACTAGGTATGCTATACACTGGGTATACTATACACTAGGTATACTATAAATGGGTATATTAGACAATGGGTATACTATACACTAGGTATTCTACTCTCTGTATTTCCTACAGGCTGGGTAATATACGCAATGGGTATGCTGCACACTGTGTATGCTACGCACTGGATATTCCTCACGTTAGATAAACTACACAGTTGATGTGTTACACACTAAGTGCAAAATGTACAGAGTTTTTCCTGGCATAATCTAGTTAAATAACAATTGTGTGACAGTGGTTTCTGGGATATATATATATATATATATATATATATATATATATATATATATATATACATATATATATATATATTTATTTATTGCTTGTGTGAAGCTTGCTGTAAGCCGAGTTTTTCTCAACCCCAGTCTCTCCCTATCTCTCTCCCTAAATCTCTCCTTCCCCAACCAATCGCCCAATCTCGCCCAAAGAAATGATGTAAGAAGCCTTGCGGGTCCTGGTTTAATCAAATCTTATATTCGCCGCGTTGTTTGTTTTCTAAATCTAAATGTAAATTCTCTCAGGGACGGCTGGGGTGAGTTTAGTTTTTTATGTGTGTATGTTCTTGTGATAAGTAAGGTGATGGCCGTCCTTAATGTGGGGAATGCCATTGTGGGGTGCGAATGAGGGAAGACGCGCTAATTTGTGGGATATTTGTAGGATATTCTACATTTTGAATACTAGGGAAGCAGCTTGGGTTACAATACAAATGTGTCTTCAACTATCTAGATATATTTATAACGTGTATATGTACATATACATAAAAATAGGGGCCTAATGAATATATATATATATATATATATATATATATATATATATATATATATATATATATATATATATATATGTGTGTGTGTGTGTGTGTGTGTGTGTGTGAGTGGGTGGGTGTATATATATATATATATATATATATATATATATATATATATATATATATATATAATACATTCATACACCCACATCTACATCGCCACCTACTTTTAACTACTTCTATATTTGGTGTAAAAATACAGAAACACTTTTATTTAAATAAATAAGCTGTATTATATAACTATATATATATATATATATATATATATATATATATATATATATATATATATATATATATATATATATATATATATATAATATGTGAGTATACTGTAGAGTGCCTAATACATCCATAGAAATAAACTTTAAGTGTAATTAGATGACCTAATTACAATTAATGACCTCTAATAGGTTTGGTGTGTAAAACTTTCGATCCGCAGAAAATGGCCAGATTCAGCAACAGCCAGATGCCAATTTAAAAAAAAATTGGCTTTTTTTTTTTGGCTTTCAGAACTAAGTGGAAAATGATGGGGTTTAAAGAGGGGGAGGGGGGGGGGGGCAGGTCGAGGTGACTTTCCCCCGTCTTACATTTGTCGTCGTGTTTCTTAATATAGTTGTTTTTGATGACGTATAGGATTAAGCGTTGATGTCATACATGTAGAGGACGTCACGAAGTCGGTGATTATTCGTGACGTCATAAGGGTGAAGATGAATTATGCCGTCATAAGTATCGAGATGAGATCTCACGTCATGAGTGAGCAGATTAATAATGACGTTGTGGATTAGGAAATTAACTATGACCTCATGTTTACTTAGGTATACGTCGTTTAACGATTATCCTGCATTTCTAAAATTGCAAAGTTTATAACTGTGATGGTTGATATTATTTTTTGACAGATGACACTGGTGTTTTGATGGAGCACTGTCGTGCATGATGACAGATGGCGTTCTGATGTTGTGTATGATGACAGAACGAGTTCATGAAATCGAGGCATGAAAACGTTGCTGCTGTATATCTTCATCTCAATGGAAGTCGGGTTTATTGAAGGTATGTGGTTGTCACATATTAGGTTTATTGATCTTATGTGGTTGTCACATATAAGGTTTATTGAAGGTATGGGTTTGTTATATCTTGGATTTATTGAATGTATGTAGTTGTCACATATTAGGTGTATTGAAGGTATGTGGTTGACACATATTAGGTGTATTGAAGGTATGTGGTTGTCATCTAGTAGGTTAATTGAATGTGTGGTTGTCACATATTGGGTTTATTGGAGGTATGTGGTTGTCACATCTTTGGTTTATTGATCTTATGTGGTTGTCACATCTTTGGTTTATTGATCTTATGTGGTTGTCACATCTTGGGTTTATTGAAGGTATGTGGTTGTCACATATTTGGTTTATTGAAGGTATGTGGTTGTCACATCTTTGGTTTATTGATCTTATGGGGTTGTCAAATATTAGGTTTATTGGTGGTATATAGCAGTCACATACAACGTTAACTAAAGATATGTTTTGAGCCAAATATTTTGTTTATTAATGTTATGTTTTATGTGGTTGTCACATATTTGATTTATTCAATTTACGTTTTTGTGTGGTAAAGTATGATTTCATCAGATGTATTACGCTTAGTGTTAGCTGGTACAGAAAATATTTTTATTCATTTTTATGTTGTTGAAATTTTGAATAATGAAATGTAATTTTTTTTATGTTTTATAAAAATTTTAATTTTTTTTTTGGTATATTTTATGAGGTTTCATCTCCAGTAGGTTGTGAAAGATACTCCTTTTGTGTAAACAATATTTGGTTTTATAGTATGATTAAGTCCTAGTTAGTGTTAGTTAAAGATGTATTTAGTCTCAGCTTCGTTTAATTAAAAGGCGTCACTAGAGAGTGTGTGTGGGGGGGGGGGGGGGGTGCGGCAAAAGGCGGTTTGACTGGGGAGGCCAACAGGGCTGCAGTCTGTCCCCAGAATAGGGCTGGTAAGTAGGTCACCACCCAGTTCTATGGCTCATGCAGGTTTTATTGAGCCGTAGAACTGTTTGGTAACCTAATTACCTGCCCTATTCTCGGGGCTCCCAAATATTGTCTTACAGCTGTAGAAACATAGGTATTTATTGTATTATTTATTGTAATAAAGACAATGAAACCTCATACATGAGCCTCGGGTGGTCAACTCCTCCCGTTATTGGGGCGTAACTAAATATGACGCAAAAGTGGCATTTTTTTCCATACTAAATTTAGCTTCATCCTGTACTATTACGGTTGACACAACAACGGCTTGAGGTAATACTCGCGTTGATCTCCCACAATCAGAACTGGCTTGACAATCAGAATATCTGGAAGTTTAAACACTGCCCGTGGTAGGAATGATGAGGGAGGGGGGTTGTGGAGGGTGGGGGGGGGGGTATCATACTGGTCAAGACAAATCTCAGAAATCATCTTCCGCGGGCGCAATTAGAAAAGTCGGGTCGAAGTGATCCGGGTGTGCAATCTCCGGGGTTTTATTATGGGGATCAAAGAGGAAAAATTGGAACTTTAGTTATACAAGAATATCCGAACACCCCGTGGGTTGTTTTTGTATATTCTCTGAGGGGGGGAGGAGAGGGAGGATAATTAGACCGTTTTGGAGAGGACTAAAAATATTTATACTGGACTAGACTAGACTTTGTTTATGAAAAAATAGCACTTCAATGTTTATGGTACCAAAAAAAAAATCTGTTATTTTTTGAATCGGAGACTGAAGATGTTTTATTATGTTTTGCTGTATTTCTATTTTATATTTCGCTCGTTACTTTTTTATTTATTGTTTTTTAATGTAATTTCTTTACATTTTGAATTTTGAATTTTATTTTTTTTTTACCGGTAGAGAATTAGTATTGAACATTTTAGGGGTAAAAGATTTTTAAATGTTCCCAGCAAGAGAATTAGAACTTGTACTATCATGACGAGAGAGTTAGATTATTTTATGGATTTAATTACAATTTTTAATGTTGTTAAAAATTGTCAGCACAGGGTATACGTTTTAGGGGCGCACAATTTTTAATTGATAAAAATAAAAAGGTATTCATTTCTAAACATGAACAGAAGCCTACAGATTTCAAGAAAGAGTGTAAGAAATGTAATTGAGATAATTAGAATTTTGTGGTCAAAATTTTAAAATTTCGTTAGAGATAGACCACATTTTAGTGTTATGAGGTTGATGATTGGAACATTCGAGGGCAGATAATTGCGGCTTTTAGGGGAGATAAATATAAAATGTAGGTACCGAGTTGGAATTTTTAGGGGAGATAGGCAGCATAAACATTTCGTTGAGGAAAGAGTAATAGCACACTTTAGGGGAGATAATTCAAATTTTTTTAAAGGGAGATAAAAGTAACTTTTACAGATGGGAGAAAAAAAAACTTAAGTTTCACGACAGAATTTTTTTTTTCAGGCGAGGTGTACATGGCCCAAATCTCCAGCAATATGTCAGAGTTGGCAGACGGCGAGAGGGCCTCTAGCGAACCCTCGCCCGCGGAGAGGATTATCCTAATGGTCATGCTGTCCATCTTCTCCGTGGTGGGCTCTGTGGGGAACGGGATGGTCATCTTCGTGTTCCAGGTCAGTGCCCGGCTGCTGGGAGATAAACGGAATTTTAATCACGGAATGGTTTTAGCCTCTAGTTTTTTTTTCCTTATTAATCGTGAGAAGGATAGAGAGATATGGAGCCAGATTTTTTGCTGATATATTTTACTCAGGACCAGTGTTTATTCCATATTTTTTTCTCCGGGGGGGGGGTCTTGAAATTTTCGGGGGGAGGACTAAAATTTCTATGGGGAGGGGGGTGCGGACGCTATTTAAAACTATATGTATTTTAAATGTAAATTCCATTTCGTTCCGGGGGGGGGGGGGGGGTAGAAGAGATGCCTGGAAGAAACACTGCTCAGGACTTAAGATGATTAAAGAGGTGTAGTCAGATTATTTTTCAATTTTTTGTTTTTCAATTTAAGCACTTCCATTGGTGCTAAAAAGGCTCTTTCAATTTAATTAAGGCTGGTAATTATATATAAATCGTTAAGTTTACAGTAAACAAAATACTGAACACACTGGAAAATAAATCAATTGTTTCATTTGTTTGTCGGGTTGTAAAAAAAAACATATTTTAAAATTTTTCCCAAAATAATTCTTTTAGCAATGTCCTATATATATATATATATATATATATATATATATATATATGTCCTATATATATATGTAGCGAGGGGGGCGGGGGGTGCGGATCGCAAAATATATGGAGAAAAAGTTGAGGGGGGGGGGGTGCAAATCGAAAGTTTGAGGGGGGTGGGGTGCAAATCGAAAACTTGAGGGGGGGGTGCAAATCAAAAATTTGAGGGGGGGGGGGTGCAAAACGAAACTTTGAAAGTTTGTCCCCGGGAAGGGTCGCTGCACCTCTGGGGGGGGGTGACACCATTAAGTGCCGCACCGGGTGACACCCGACCTCACTACGCCACTGTATGTATACATATATATATATATATATATATATATATATATATATATATATATATATATATATATATATATATATATATATATATATATATATATATATATATATATATATATATATATATATATATATATATATATATATATATGGATACAAATACGTATCATTGCTTTTCATCCATATATATTTTTATATTTTTAATCATGCGGTAGTAATTAAAAATGAAAATGGAGGCTGAAGTTTAATTTTGTGAGTTCATTCACTGCCCCGATACGATTCTAAGGGTTGGAATTTTTTTTCTCTCTCTTTTAAAACATCATTCACATTATCTCTGAGTCCCGTTAAGTAAAGGCTTCGGGCCCGACAGGAACAAATAAAAGAGCAATCAGACAAGTTCCAGAGAGTTCTGAGACGGCTCCAATTTAAACGAAGTTGGTTTCAAATCTAGTCCAAAGTAGGGGAAAACAATTGGTTGTCTGTCCATTACACCCTCATTTCACTTTTACTCCCTCCCTCCCTCCTGTATTTCTCCCCTCAAGTCTCTTTATACGCTTTGATTCTGATCAGATGGCAAATTGAAGCCAAAAGAACGCTATATTTTGACATCGAATCTGTTAAAAAACATTCCGTTTTTCGATAGTACGTGATCTTAAACCAACCAATAGAAACAGCGATAGGTGAGTGGCGTGTGATGTTTAACTAAGAAACAGAAATAACCTCGTTGCTGATTGGTCGTAGGAGAACTGGTTTGTCTTGATTTGAAATTCAGAGTCCGTAAAACTTCAGATTTTATTTGCTCAAAACACGGTTGATTCATGCTCCGAGCCTAAACCGAACCAAATTAAACTTAGTCAAACAATTCTTACTAATGTTTCTTAATCTATTTTGGCTTTTGAAGAATGGTTCGAACCTCCGCTCCACTCTAATTTTGATGTCAGAGTTTGATTTTATTAAATTATCTAAATTAGATTTTCCGTCCATTATTTTATTATGAGGACGGTGTCGAAGTTTCATGATTGATTACGATAAGATATTTGTGATGGCTGCCCATTCCTGAAATAGCTGAGTTTTTTTTCGTTGGTTTGGATGTGAACCTTCTATGTCTGTATCAAAGTCTAGTTTTTTTCGAGTTCAAATTAGTGTAAAAAGGGGGGGGGGGGGGGCATTAAGCTATTCGCGATAGCGTGACATTGCATTGCTATTGACTTTAATTTATTTTAATTTTTAAAAATGTTTTGCTGAATCAGCATATATCTTTTTGTCAACTTGCCATCAGAGTTGTGTAAAACCAGAATAGCGTTTTTTGTCCTTCAAGGGGCCTAGGAGCATTTTTTTTTCAAAGAGGCCAAAGTAGTTATTTATAAACGTAGGACTGCCGCCATCGATATTTGTAGCATACGTGGAGAGGAAGGAAAGTTTATGTAGATGGCTAAGCAAAGTGCTGAGATTAGGATTAAGACTAGTGATCTGATTATGTTTATAAGTGGAAATAAGTGTTTATAAGTTTATAGGAAATACAAAAATAATAAGAACCTATTTGCAGCTTTGAACATGATAATAAAAGAATATTAGTTGACTTAGCAGTCCTAGATATTCCTTTGCTGATCTGTGCTGGTAACACAAGAATATTCTTTCTGGCTTGTACTCTAGCCCAGACTTAGATTTGCAACCGTACATTCTCCTAAACCACGCCCCTACAAATTTATCATGTTTACATAAAACCCCTAACATACCTGTAACCTGTGACATTTTTTTTTAATTCAGAGAATCCGCGACAAGACAACCGCCCAGGTGTTCATCATTACCATGGCGGTCATCGACCTTTTCACCTGCATGGTCATCATCCCCTTCACCATGCTGATGGAGTTCATCGACTACAACGTCAAGTACGACTTCTTCTGCAAGCTCTACCACTTCCTCATCGCCTCCAAGGTACCGCTATCAGCTTTCATCATGGTGGCCATCGCGTTCGACCGCTACTTTTGTATCTGCCATCCTCTAAAACGGGTGATTACGTTGAGGAGAGTTAAATACACCATGGTGTATCTGTCGCTGTTGGCGTGCGTGTTGGGGCTGATCACGTCGTTGTTTTACAGCGTGTACCAGGTGATCTTGGAGATCGACAGCGTCAGTATAGACCGAGAGATGGGGATCAACTTCACCAAGTCCATCACGGAAGCCGACGATATCAAAATCCCGGTCAGCGTTAGCGGGGAGACGGCGGAAGTCCCCGGCACGACAAAGCCGGAGCGGTACAACGAGCTTCGGGAGAAACTAGTCAACGCGTTGAAGCTGTACAATTACTCCTACGATGGGACGAGCATTAACGCCGTACCCTGCACATTGAGGACTGTGTACACGGGTACCTGTAGCGCATCGTCGGTTATACTGGGCCAGACATTTTTCAAAGCCTACCACCCGTTTCACATCTCGATTTTTCCCTTATGCCTCATCACAGTCATCGTCTTGTATTTCCTTATCTACCGCTTCATGTGCCTGAGACGGTCCAAGAAACTCCAGCAAAAGTTGATCATGTGTTCGTATGTAAACGGGGACGGAACGTACGAGAACACGCGTCTAGTCAGCGGAGTCATTGAGGACAAACGGAGAAACAGCAAAAACGGCTCCGCGTCTTCAATCCCCGGGACGTTTCCGGTTTCGGTTTCCGCGTATGACGTCAGTCCAAGCACAACGGTTATAATTAGATCAAGTAATTCGTGTCACACCGCGGAACAGATGCAGAGCGGGGACGGTAAGGCGGGGAAACACGGAGCGCATTTACAAGTGGAGGGCGGGCATAAGTCGAAACTGTCATTCACGCCAGCCAACGTGTCGTCCGTCACGCCCACGGAACACGAAGACAACCTGCCCATCCTAGACAACTTCTACAACACCAACGCCAACAACAACAACAACTTCAGCAACCAGACCAGCAGCCTCCGTCGCCACAGCCATCTCCCGGAGCAGAAATACCACTGGCACAAGAACAGGGACTCCATGAAGCGGTACAAGGGGAAATCAAAACGCCGGCGGTCCCAGCATAGCTTAGACGTAGACCGCTTGCGGGATGAGAACCGCGCCGCCAACGTGAGAACCGCTCTGATGCTGTTCACCGTGACAATCGTGTTTGTGATCGCCTTCTTGCCGTCGATGCTGATGTCCCAGCGGATAGTCCAGTACAAACTGGTGCCGTTCTACATCTACTTCAGCTACAACGTCGCCAACCCGTTCATCTACGCCTTCATGAACCACATCTTCAAGGACTACATGCGCAAGATGTTCTCCTGCCCGGATTTGACCCGCAGGTCGAAATGAATCGCACGCTTGGGAAACATTATAAAACTCGAACATGGACAGAAAGTTTTCTTTCATGAGCTAGTTAACACCCAAAATCAGCCTATGGACTTAATGATATCGGCGGGTGTGTTTTCCTGTACAGTATCATAAGTATCTTGCAACAGCTGATAACATGTGTAGCATTATCGGAGAGCTATAACAATAATGATGGTCAGCTTTGGGATTTGTCTATCAAGCTAAGCGTTTACTGCTTTTTTGAATAAATTTCCTGCATCAGCCTATGGGATTCTTGCATTTACGCTAACGAATCTTACAAAGCCCCATGAGATTCTCGAACAAAATTATGAGATTTCGCATAAAATATGAGATTCTCGCACAAAAGGATGAGATTCTCTCACAAAAGTATGAGATTCTCGCACAAAAGGATGAGATTCGCGCACAAAAGAATGAGATTCTCGCACAAAATATGAGATTCTCGCACAAAAGGATGAGATTCCCGCACAAAATGCCGAGTTGCTCATACAAATTAATGAGCTTCTTAAACCAAATGATAAGTTTGTTGATCGAGTCGAAGTGTTTCTTTGGTCAGCCGAGGAGTTTTTGGCTTCAGCATACAAGGACCTCAGCCAATAGGAAAAAAGAATCGTATGCTGGAAAGACTTCTGACATTACTTCCAGCTTTTACGACAGTAGGTTGGTTGAATGTTTAGAACAGGGGTCTCCAAACTACGGCCCGCGGGCCGAATGCGGCCCGCGAAGTACTCTCATCCGGCCCGCGAATATCTTTTTGTCCAAGGAAAAAAATGTTTGTTGGTGTTGGCTGAGGAACTTTGCCGAGAAAAATCAAAGACATGCCTAGAAGAAACTGGCCCCCGAACTGAAATTTGATAGTGAATGCGGCCCTCGGACTGAAAAGTTTGGAGACCCCTGGTTTAGAACAACGAAACAGTGTATCGGATTAGCTTATATCAGTTTGTTTAACGTTCATAGGCTGTGTTAACAAAGTGCGATTCAGTCGACTTCTTTTCCCAAAATAAGACAACTCAACGATGACATCACTCATACAACCGGATGTATCTGTAACGCGCACAAATTCGGACCGGAAACTACGAAAGCATATACCTTCACGACGTAGCGCGTGATTTTGTGAGAGAGCATGAAAAACAAATGATTTAAAACGTAGTTACATCGTAATGAATATTGCTCTAAAAGCAGATATCGTTTTCATGATTGGAGTTCGCTCTCTTGAGAGAAATAGGAATCGATTCACGGGAAGAGTGCTTGTTATTTTCTGCACGGCGGATTCTATTTGGGTTAGTAGGTTAATTAGACCGTGCCGTGTGGTTAGTCATAAGTCAAGCGGCATGTTACGTAAGATGTCATTAACACATTTAGAAAACATTATGTTAACATGACTAATGCACTTACATTAATAGATAGTGGGGATACGTAAAAACAGGTCTTTGTGGATATTCGGATCACGGATTGGACACCGTTGTAACAGTTTTAATATCCAGGAATTATAATTTGCCTTTATGATTTCGTTTGTAAAATCAATTATAATTGTGATATATCATTCTTTTTCTTGTAAATGATCATTAACTTTCTTGTAAAAGTTCATTAATTTTCTTGTAACAGGTCATTAATTTTGAAATACTCGATACAGGTCATCTACTTTCTATTGGTCGTCGCTTTTTTTCATTTTTTGTCATGTTTTTCTATACCTCATAGAAATTAAATTCATTGAAGAATATTTATCTCTTTAACTTTCAAAATTTTATGATATTTTGCGCTATTAATCGGCTTTAATTACTGCCATGCTTAAGTCAGGCAACCCGTAAGTCTATCCACAAAAGATAAAATATATCGGTGAGTTCACAAATAGGCTTCTATAAACGTAAAACGTCCAACTCTTTAATATAACTCCTAAAAGGTTATTCTCTCCTACCCAGCAGACTATATGAGGCGGCGTGGCCTAAACGATAGAGCGCTAGGCTGTGAACTTGAAAGTCTCGAGTACGAATCCAGGTAGAACCTCCCTGAGTCCACCCAGCTGTGATGGGTACCTAACTCATGGAAGTTAAGTCGGCTGTTCAAAGTGCTGACCGCACTTTCCCTTCATATGCCGAGGTCAAGAAACATAAAATCTACTTCATCTGTCCAAAAATGGATCGTTAGGTCTAAAGCGGATTCTTTACTTTCCCCAGCATATATAAAATCTATACTCCCTTGGCTTTTTTAAAAAAAAACTCATACCAAGAAGACGAGGGTTCGAATACAGGTTGCGCATTACTTCACCAAATATAGTATAAAAGCTACGCTTTTTGATGGCTTCTCTATTTGTTCTGTAGCCACAGTTCCAGAAAGTTCTGTCTTTTTTCTGCGACTTCACGTCATATCTTTTACCGTGTTTTCTACCATAAATGTATATCATTTGTGAGTTTTAACATCCAAACCGTAGTGTCTAGTCCAAGTTTTTTTATAAGCCACCTATGGTGCCTTTCTACTATGTGCACCATTACGTCATCTTTTTACAATGTTCATCATGTAGTTACCTGTTTTATTTTACCAAACTTCTAAAATGTGTGATCAGGTTATGGTTCGTTGTGTGTTTCTATTTGAACAGTAACGTTTTTTTTTAAAAACCTCTTTATGTGTATCTAATAAATCAAGTGTAAGTCCATTTAAAATGCATACAAAGGACAACGTGGTCCATTGCTGAAAATAAAGTTAGGCATTCGGTTTTTCTGGTTCATGTTTGTTGTAGACTGTTTCTTTCAGGCATTTATTTCTTCGTAGGGTAGAGGAAGAGCCCCCGTCCTCCACCTCCTACCCCCTCCCACCCCACTTACACACAGACTTCCCCGGGACACTTGCACCATTCCCCCTACCCGACAAAATAGAAAAAGACATCAATTTTAAATTAAAAATGTTATGCTTATTGCCATTTTTATAACAATTTCAATTCCCACCCCCTCCCCTCACCCGGCCCTCTCACCCTGGAGCAAAATGTCTGAAAGAAACTCGGGTTAAAAATTCGTGAGTTACTCAATTGAGGTGAATGTTTGAATCAAGTCTTGGAAAATAAAGACGTAAATGTATAACGCAGAAACACTGTATAAGGCTTGGTAAAAATTATATAAACTCTACTGTATCTACGCTATTAAACCTCTGATCTAAACTGTGACAACAGTTGCTAGTTGGGTTTTAAAAATAAATACACCAGGACATACAAACTCATTTTAGCTATAATGTTGCTGTTTCCGGTTGAAATCACTTCGTCAGGAAAAAAATGATTTTAATTATTCTTAAACAGGGGAATGACAAATCAAATTTTTTTCTGTGTACTTCTTCTTTCTTCTTCTTCGTTTTTAATTATTAGTGTTGAAGGGGATCGAGATTTATCTGCCAGTGGGTTTGAACTCGAGACTTTGTTCGAATTTATCAACCATGAGCTTTTTGCCGACTCGACCACGCCTCCAACACAATTAAGCGTTACGTGTCAACTGGTTATGCGCCATTGAGGCCATTTCTGTGTACGAAAATAAACAACAGTGGGCTGAGTCAAGTAAAAATTATTTGTTTTGATTAAAAGTACTCTAGATTTATTGGAAGACTTAGTCATCTTTTTTTGTTTCAATTGCCGTCGTTGAGTACAACCAAGTGCGTTTTGACGATGTTACTTTATCCATTAATCTATATCCAGTCGTCATTGTTAATGGCTGTTGGGGTGGTATCTTTAGGCGGATTGCTCATAATGGAGAAATATTCCTGGGTACCGAATGAAATGTGTATTTGTCAAGTCACGTGACATTATGGTATTTTAAAAGGACTTGGAAGAACTTTCTGGATCATTTAGAATTTTGTTTTTTTTTATCATTGCTCTTTTAAACTCATGTTAATTTTACTCATTGCTTTTTTAAGTTACTGTTTTTATACATGTTTTTTTAAAGTCACTATCACTGTTTCTTCCAGACTTTTTTTCTCGGGGGGGGGGGCACTTGAAAATTTTCGGGGGGGGGGGGGGGGCTAAATTTTCCGGGGGGGGGGGGTCACTGTTAAAAGTATATATTTTCTATGTAAATTCCATTTCGCTCGAGGGGGGGCAGACTTGCCTGGAAGAGATGACTGGAAGAAACTCTGGTCACTATTTTAAAATATTTAATAGACTACTCTTTGACTTCTAACTTAGAAACTTTTTTTTTAATCAGCATTGCCAAAATTCAAGTTCGTCTGCCCTTTGTGTAAAATTTGTTTCGTTTTTGGCAAGGGCCTTGAAAAATAGTAAATACCATAAATTTCCAGAGCAAATGTAATGTAGGAAAATTGCCTGTCTTTCACTATCCTCCTCTTTACGAGAATTCCATAAAAAAGCCATACCAGTTGTGCCAAACGCTACTTCGGAGAAACCAATAAAATGGATTGTTATGACCTTTTTTGATGGCCCACGCACTCATCAATATTCCAATCATTGTTTCTCCATCATCGTGTATTGTTTTTATAGACTAATGTAAAATAAAGTTTGGTTTGTCATCTGACTTGTCGGTTGTTTTCGTTTTGTTTCGGTTGTTAGAAATTGTTATTTTTTGCACAGGCACATTAGCAGACAGACCTTGGTAACATGAGAACATAATAATAATAATAATAATAGTCGTATTTGTGAAGTTCGACCTTGAACCTTGGAAAACATTAACCTTGAACTTGATACATGTTTTTCTAGCAAAACAATAAATTTGTAATAAGGAGCCGATTACTGTTATAAAAGTGGGATCAACGCAATCAATATTTTTAGCAAAAGAAGAGAGTCAAAGTAAGGCTTAGATTAAGTGCCAAGAACAGGAGTGAGGCTGGAAATAAGAATAGTGTTAATGCCGGGATTTGAAGTGAAGTATTGTTATAGGAAATACTGGAGTACTAAGATACACTTTGCAGCTTTGTACTTGAACCTAATAACATGGGAGTATAAGACTTGAGACGGAGGCTTTGAAGCTTGGAGTCGTGGAGAATTGGAGTCTTTGTCTTGAGGCCTTGAAGATTTTGAGACTCGAGGAGACTTGCTGTCTTGGAATCTTGTGGCCATTGAGTCTTTAAGTCTTGAAGTGATGGAGATGTGTGGTCTCTGATACTCTAGAAGACATACTCTCTTGGAATCGTGGGGTCCTACATACTCGAGGTCTTGGTAACTTGGGGTCTTAGAAACGTGGGATTTTGGAGAGTCAGGGACAATTTTGTCTTGAAATCTCGGGATCAGGAGATAAAGGGAAGTAGAGACTTAGAGGAAATTTGGGTCTTGGAGAACTGGAGTCTTTG